TGTCTTTTGCAAATTCGGCAATTACATGGGAATTACGCACGCCTTAGCGAGCGCGCTAGGAATTTGGGTCGACGGTTAGGAATTCCGGAATGAGCGGAATCTGACGTGTCCTTTCTTGCGCATGAATGTTATTAACTTCGTCTTGGAAAGCTCTGGGAATTTTCGTAGGAATCTGAATAGGTATAGGATTTTCTCCCACGCTCGCTCTACCGCGCGGATATGGTACTTTTCAATTTGAATTAGCTGTAACTGTTTTGTTGCCCTTTTTGCCTCCGCGTCGGCGCCATGCATGCGAGTCTCCCCTCCCCGCTTCCCACGCTGCCTTCGACACTCTCTTCTTCGCGCTCACGCTTCTTCTCTCTCTCTGTAACCATTTTCCATCTCTCCTTCGACCTTGCGCATCTTTTCTCTCCTTCTTGATCGTCTGAATCTTGGTTCCATTTCACGCTATTCTTCGCGCTCTTCTTCTTCTCGCTCTAATCCCCGCGCTGAAATACCCTGTCGACCCCATCTTCACTCCCTGTAGCCAAGTAGATGCGCCGTGTAAGAAGGAAATTGCTGATACACAACGATTCTGATTGGCTACAACTGGGATCCAAAGGATCGACATGGCTCTTGTCAGGCGAGTATCCCTGAGCCTTTCCCTACTCCTCCTTGTCTCAATCCTAACCCTTCCTAGTGTCTATCTTCTTTTCCGCAGCTATAAATTCCGCAAGCGCTCCCGAAAATCTCTCTCTTTCGACTCATCAACCTGCTTCCGGGAAGTTGTCGCTAGGTGGTGTGAAGGAAGGTGCGAGTCGAAAAGTCTTGACGAGCTGGCTGTAGTTTTAGCGCTCGGCATGCTGGAGCGCCCGATGAACTGTGGGATCCGAGCAGGGTCGTGTCGAGACTAAGTCGGCGGGGTGACGATCTCGATGGTGGGTTGGCAACTTAGCACGTGACGGTCAGGATCGTCAGTGCAAGTGAGACGTTCGAGTCGAAAGTAAGTGAGTGCATGGCCTGGGGCTATGGTGGAATTTTATGGCAGAAGTGCTTCCCTTTTTTTTTCCCAAAATTTGTATCTTCGAGTGTGAGTTCCGATCGTTCGGCTTTTGAGCCGAAAATCCCCTCGACAAGATTGTCTGACATTCTGTGATTGCTTTCTACTCGTTCTTCCCTCCTGGTCTGCGTTTGTACTCTCTCTCTCTCTCTCTCTCTCTCTCTCTCTCTCTCTCTCTCTCTCTCTCTCTCTCTCTCTCTCTCTCTCT